TAAACCGTCAACTTCCAAAGCTAAAGCAAACTGAAGTGTGAACTTCAAAAAACTCTATTGCTTTATTTTGCTAGTTTTCATTGTCTTTTCTCTGTTTTTGTTAATTAGAATACTCTTTGAGCTTAGGGTTAATTTGGTGTATAACCAAAAAACAAAAAGTTAATTAAACAGTAAGTAAAATGGGGGTATGTGGCAAAATCATGTTGGATGTGGGCTTTTTGGTTAGATTTTAGATTATAATTATTTTTGTGTTATTTTTGCCAATTTTCCTATTACGAAATTGATATCGCTTTTTGAAACAATGTTTTGCTTGTCTATATGTCTCTTGGCTAGGCGGGAACTGAAAACTCGAATCAAATCTGATCTAAATATACCTGAACGGAACCGAGAATGTCAAAAATTATTCGAATATGTCAAAAATTACCCGAATAGTTTTTATATTTTCTAAGTTTGGATGCTCAAAATATCCGGAACATAAAATAATGAAAAATTTATCTAGAATAATCTACTTTTTTAAAAAAATAGGTAGAATAACTTTACAATTTTCTTTTATTGCTGAAATAATCTATTCTCAATTTTTTTTCTTTCATAATACCAAAATTGTCCTTGACAGACTTTGCCGAGGTATTGGCAGACTCTGCCGAAACATTGGTAGACTCTGTCAATGTTTTGGCAGAGACTGCGTATTTCTAGATATTGGCAGAGTCTGCCAATACATCGGTAGAGTCTACCAATGTTTCCGCAGAGTTTGTCAATGATTCGGCAGAGTCTGCCAATACCTCGGCGGAGTCTGCCAATGTTTCAGCAGAGTATGTCAATGTTTGGCAGACTCTACCAATGTTCGGCAAAGTCTACCAATGTTTTGGCAGAGTCTGTGTATTTTTAGATATTGGCAGACTCTGCCAATACATCGGTAGAGTCTGCCAATGTTTCGGCAGAGTCTGCCAATACTTCGGCAGAATCTGCCAAGGATAATTTTGGTATTATAAAAAAAAGAAAATCTAGAATAGGTTATTTCAGCAATAAAAAAATAGTAAGGTTATTCTAACTATTTAAAAAAAAGTAGGTTATTCTAGCTAATCTCCTTAAAATAATATATTTTCAGTTCCTTTTATTTTTTTGGTTAGTTCGGGTATTTTATCCGAAAATATCCAAAAATTATATGAAAATTACCGAAATTACCC